TTTCGCGTGGGTGGGGATGATGTGGCACCCACGGCCTGCCGTCAGGGTGCTTCCAATCCCTGCGGTGGATGTGCTCAAAGCGCAGTGGCACGAGGTCAATGAGCTCGTGCGAGTCGCCGGTGCAGTCGGGAATATCGAAGTCCAGGACGTACACCCCATTTTCGGAGTGTGCTCGTCCGATCTGCCTGCGGGGGAAGTTGCGCGCCTCATAGTGCAGCAGGATATCTCGCGTCGCGCGGTCGGTGCTGAGGTCGACGCCGCAATCCATGAGCTGTGCGGCGGACAGGAGGTTGAAGCACAGGTTCTGGACGATCAGCACATCGTTGAGCGTGATATGCGTGCGGCTCCCGCGTGCTTTGAGCACGACGATGCCTTGCGCGCTTGCGCGCAGGTGCGTGTTGTTCGCCACAGTGACATAAGTGACGGTAGGAGTGGGGATGGCGTTGGATATGTAACGCTCGGAGCCCACCATATGCTGGCCGCAGCAGCTGTCCAGGTACCAGGTGTTGTAGCGCTTGTTGTCGTCACGGGCGAGCAGCGCCAGTCGCGGCGTGACGATGTGCGGAGTGTCGAACTTCAAAAATTGCTCGCGCTTGAGCCAATCGAGTGGCGCCACCCGCATATCAGGTACGTGCGGGAGACTTTCAAGCAGTGGGACTGGAAGATTCCAGTCTTGGTCGTCGTCGTCGGTGAAATCGTGGCGCGGACTGAACGGATTGTTGTTGGTGAATGCGCCAATGGGGTGAGGTGCCGGCTCAGGTGAAGGCGAGCGGACGCGGCGACGACGCGATTCGCCTGCCATGGTCATGTTGCTCATGACATTGCGAACTGGGGCAGTCGATGACGGCTGCTGCTGCTGATGCTGAACCGCTGGGTTCAGATTGCGCGCGGGAGGGGGCTGATACCCCTGGGCTGGACGCACGTCGCCTCGTGCATCTTGACGGCCGGACCAGGTGCTCGGATTGGTCTGGCGAGGGCGGGATCGGTTCTTGCATCGATCCGCCAGATGCCCGAAATTTCTGCAGATTTTGCAGTAGAGGCGCCGTGGTTTTTGCTCTTCAGTGTTGTCGGCGTAGAAGGCGAGCCGTTCTCGTTCTCGTCGTGGCGCTGGTCGCTGCTGATCCATATCCCTCTGTTCGACGAGAAGGGCGGCGCAAAGGGCGGCCTCCGAGATGACCCCCTGCTGTCGGAGAAGCGCCTTGCAGGGCCGCCACTCTGGGCCGAGCCCTTGAAGCACGATGTTGACGAAGATTTCCTCTGAAATCGTGCTTCCCAGCTTCACGATTTGGTCGTGAAGGCTCCGACAGCGATTGAGATAATTGTTGACCTTCTCCCCCGCTATCATCTTGGTTTCCAGGAGTTCCTGGAGTAGTCGTCTCGAAGAGACAGAGTCCTTGGGCTGATAGACTCCTGTCAGGTGCCGCCAAGCGTTAAGGGCTGGAGCAGCCGAAGTTTTGTAAGAACGAATGTTGAGCTGCTCTGCCGGCGACATATTCCGCAGGAGCACCCCGTACGCCATCAACGATTCGTCGTAATACCTCGCTTTGGCGTCGTCGGTGTCCTCAGCGGGCTCCGCGTAGCTCCCGTCAAAATAATGGAAAATTCGGGCGTTCTGCAGCAGGAGCTCCAACTCGAAGCTCCAGGTATAAAAATCTCTGCCGTCAAAACAGGTACTTGTCTTTATTTTTGATATGCTGAGTAACCTTGATAGGGCGGAGAGAACTGCCTCTTCACTGGGACGGGGAGTCTTAGGGGTTGAGCCATTGGTGTCGAGGGAGAATGTTTGCGAGGTGGCGTTCTGGCCAGTCGGGGCCGGTTGAGAGGGTTGTGAGGATGTTCCCGCGTCGCCATTCCGCAATGTTCGGAGCCCTTGCTCCAAGCTGGTGAGTCGCTGAAGAAGTTGTGCGGGAACTTCGGAGCCGATTGTCGTCGTGTTCTCGCTTGTCGCAGCCGGGTTTGGTTGCGCTTCAGCCGTCAGATTGGTCTGACCACCAGATCCTCCGGCCATCTTCACTCGTGAGCATGTGCCGGACGCCACTTTCCGAATGTCGCAATTTTCGGGAGTGGCAGTGCGAAGGATTCCCGAGCCGCTCTCATACCATGCTGCGATCAGAAGTTGATCATAGCCCAGGATCTACCCGGGAAGGTTCGCACGCAGTGAGATAGTTTGGTGGGCCCTTGACCTCAATAGCAGAGTGAATGTAAAATGCTTTGAGATGAAATAAAACATGCAAATACAAGAAATATAAATATGAGTACAAGGGAATACGAAACGACCTAATTAGCCATGTACTCTAAGGGGTACATTCCTTTATTCAAATTCATTCCCAACCGTGCGGCGCGTACAGTTTCGTAACTGTTCCCGCCAAAACCATTCTGCCTGCAGCTGCCCGATGCCGTCTCCTTCCGACGGTCCAGATGTGCTGTAACCGTCTGACTCTTCGGTTTGATTCCAACTGTCGGTCGCTTCACGTTCATTCTCGACATTGCCTGCTTCCCTTTGCTGCGGTGAGGAGTGCACAGTAATATCAAATATTACGATTCGTAACACCGACCTCGTTGCGTCGCTGCGCCGCTCAATCATTACGCCGCTCGATCGTTGCGCCATTGCGTTGTAGCGATTTAACATATCCATAAGCTAGCTAAATCTACTAGGTTATCAATTATTTTTTTCCCTCTTTAGATTAGCTTCTCTTAGTATTATTATGTTTTTCTTTGATCTGATTGAACAATCTATTTTTAGAATAATTGGTTTCAATCATTTTAACGGATTGATAAAGGAATTTATTTGAAATTTACTTATACATCTTAACGGTTTACATTCTCACGATGTCAATCACGATGCTAGTCTTGATGCTCGCTAGTCACGATGCTCGCAAGTCACAATGCTCGCTAGTCACGATGCTCGCTTGTAACGATGCTCGCTAGTCACGATGCTCGCAGGTCACGATCCTCGCTAATCACGATGCTCGCTAGTCACGATAATCGGTAGTCACGATAATCGCTAGTCACGATGCTCGCTGAACACGATATTACAATGTTCCAATATTTTTACAATGTGCCACATATACTAGCTAGTCTAAAATGGAACATACATTATAATATGTAGTATTTCTAGTAAATGCAGATCCGCCATTGAGTGGTTGCAACCCTGCAATTTATTACATCTGTCAAACTATTTGTGCTGCATATTGTCTAGTCTGTAGTGGTGTAGCCCATATGGGGTACAACCCAATTAGGGTTTACTACTTGTACTCCTACATCCTGCTAGTTCATCCATTCCTGCTGCTAGATTCTAACATGTTTTCAGAGAACTAAGGTCCGTAGGACCGTTTTTTTTCGGGCCCACCTACCGCTGCGGTTACCGCGCTACCCCACGTACCTGCCTGCCTTGCCTTGCCTTGCCTTGTGACGTGCTGCACTATGCGCGCCGTCCAGCAGCCCTAGCGCTGCCTCCTGCTGCCCTAGGCCAGCGCGCTGCCCCTAGAGGCCCGTAAGGCCCGCGCGCCGCCCCTACACGCCCTTCAGGCCCGCGAACAGCCCCTGCAGACCGTTAGGCCCCTTGCTGCCGCGCGCTTGCTGCCGCGCGCTGCCCGCACCGAGCCCGCGCAGCCCGCACCGAGCCGCGCGCAGCCCGCTGCAGCCGCGCGCAGCCCGCACCGAGCCCACGCAGCCCGCGCCGAGCCGCGCGCAGCCCGCACCGAGCCGCGCGCAGCCCGCTGCAGCCGCGCGCAGCCTGCACCGAGCCGCGCGCAGCCCGCTGCTGCCGCGCGCAGCCCGCGCCGAGCCCACGCAGCCCGCGTCGAGCCGCGCGCGGCCTGCTACGGCCTCGCGAGGCCCGCGCGCGGCCCGCAGCAGCCCGCGCCGAGCCGCGCGCGGCCTGCTACTGCCTCGCGCGGCCCGCAGCAGCCCGCGCCGAGCCGCGCGCGGCCCGCTACTGCCTAGCGCGGCCGCGCGCGGCCTGCAGCAGCTTATCGTGCTGTCAGCGCAGCCCGCGCCGAGCCGCGCATGGCCTTCTGCCTCGGCCTTGACCTGCCGCTGATGCGGCCCCGCCCTGCAGCTGCCACGGCCCCGACCTGCCGCTGATGCGGCCCCGCCCTGCAGCTGCCACGGCCCCGACCTGCCGCTGACGCGGCCCCACCCTGCTACTGCCGCTGAAGCAGCCCCGCCCTGCAGCTGCTTCGGCCCTGCTCTGCAGCCGGTTTTGCGGCCCCGACGTCGCCGCTGTCGTGCGCCTACTCGGCCGCCGCCCGTCGAGCGCCTGCCTGCCCTGCCGCCGGCCTGCCTGTCTGCCTGCCTGCCTGGCTGCCTGCCTGCCTGGCTGCCTGGCTGCCTGCCTGCCTACCGGCCTGCCTGCCTGCCTGCCTGCCTGCCTGCGCGCCTGCCTGCCTGCCTGCCGGCCTGCCTACCTGCATGCCGGCCTGCCTGTCTGTCTGCCTGCCTGCCTGCCTGTCTGCCTGCCGGCCTGCCTGCCTGTCGGCCTGCCTGCCTGCCTGCTTGCCTGCCTGCCTGCCGCGCCTGCCCTGCCCGCGCTACTGCTGCTGCTACTGCTACTGGCAGGTGGCCAGATGCAGCTCCAGCGACGTTCACGCGAGCCTCTCACGCCCCAGCAGCTTGATGAGTGGTATACTAGCTGGGGTTGTCGCGGTAGCCGTCGTAGCTGTCGCCCTGGAGCTGGTCAGTTGGGAGCGTATGGCAGTGGCCAGCTGCAGCTGCAGCGGCGTCCACGCGAGACACTTACGCTCCAGCAGCTCCATGAGTGGTACGCTCAGTGTAGCAGGTCTACGCGTACAGTTCGCTGCCCGTACGTCATTCGCACAGGTGCTAGGACTGGTCAGCCTTGTGGGACGCTTGGTCACACACAGTCCCGCTGCTTCGCCCGTCTGAGCGACGACTGGCGCACAGTGTTTGGCGACGAGGCTGAGCTCCCCACCTGGCTGGAGCTGCATGGACAGAGGGTAGATATCTTTGCGCTTAACTATGATGCTATTATCACTGCCATGTATGCATTGCCTACTAGTGCTGACCGTGCCTGTTACCTGTGCGTACCGCCTGACCCTGGTATAGAGCCTGCTGCTCTCGGTGCTGGTGAGGCTGCTACTCTAGGTGCTAGTGCGTCTCCTGCTCTAGGTGCTGGTGAGGCTGCTGCTCTCGGTGCTAGTACGTCTACTGCTCTAGGTACTGGTGAGGCCATGGCTTCAGGTGCTGGTGAGTCTGCTCTCTCTGGTACTGCGCCCACTGCGGTCTCGCACACCTTCACCCTTGACTCAAGAGCTTCTCGCTCCTTTTTTCGCGACTGCACCACACTCACGCCGCTTAATCGGCCAGTTCCAGTCTCCCTGGCGGACCCCTCTGGGGTGCCAGTCCTTGCCCACTACTCCACGGTTCTGCCGTGTCCGGCCGCCCCGTCCGGCTCGCTGTCAGGTCTTTACCTCCCCTCGTTCTCTACGAAATTGGTGAGTGGAGCTGACCTCCAGGATCGGGGGGTTGACCAGTTCACTCCTGCGAGTCAGCGAGTGACTCACTGTACGTGTGCTAGGACGGGCCGGCACTTGGCCACGTTCACCCGTGCACCTGGCTCGAGTTTGTACACACTGACCACTGAGTCACCTCAGGTAGCTACGTCTGCGTCTACGTCTGGTCAGCTGGCGGCCCCCTACGAGTGTCGCGCTTTGTCGCACGACACTCTCCTGTGGCACCACCGCCTTGGTCACCCCTCCCTGCCTCGCCTTCATAGCATGCACTATCGCTCCCTGGTCTCTGGTCTTCCCAGGTCTCTGCCTGCCCTCCCTCCCTCGCCTGCACCGCCCTGCATTTCTTGCGTCGAGGGGCGGCAGCGCGCCGCTCCTCACTCCTCCTCGTTTCCTCCCACAGAGGCTCCACTGCAGACGCTCCACCTGGACGTGTGGGGCCCAGCCCGCGTCCAGGGACCGGGCCACGAGCGGTACTTCCTGCTGGTTGTCGACGACTACACGCGTTACACCACGGTCTTCCCCTTGCGGAGCAAGGCGGATGTCCCTGCTGTTTTGATCCCCTAGATCCGCGCAGTTCGTCTCCAGCTCCGCGAGCGGTTCCGGTCGGACTTTCCTGTCCTGCGTCTGCACTCTGACAGAGGTGGTGAGTTCTCCTCCGACCTCTTGGCAGCCTACTGTGCGGAGCGCGGCATCCGCCAGACGTTCACGCTTCCGGCCTCTCCGCAGCAGAATGGGGTTGCTGAGCGCCGCATTGGCTTAGTCATGGAGGTCGCTCGTACCTCCATGATCCATGCGGCTGCCCCCCATTTTGTGTGGCCGTTTGCGGTCCGGTACGCCGCGCATCAGCTCAACCTCTGGCCCCGTGTCTCCTTGCCCGAGACCTCGCCCACACTGCTGTGGACGGGGAAGGTTGGCGATGCGTCGCGTTTCCGGGTCTGGGGTGCTCGTGCCTTTGTCCGCGATACCACCGCGGACAAGCTCTCCGCCCGCGCTGTTCCATGTGTCTTCCTTGGCTTTGTCCTTGACGCGCCTGGTTGGCAGTTTTACCACCCCAGCTCGCGCCGTGTCTTTGCGTCTCAGGACGTCACGTTCGACGAGTCGGTTCCCTTTTACCGTCACTTCCCCTACCGCACTGCCTCCCCCCCCCCCCGCCGCTCTTCCTCGCTCCAGGTGCTCCCCAGGTAGACCCCTTCCCCGCTCCAGGTCCTGCTCCTTCAGGTGTTTCTCAGGTAGACCCTCCTCCCTTGACTGCGCCGGTTGAGGTCACTGGTGACTCAGGTCCTACTGAGGGTGGTCCTGCTCGGGGTGCTACTTCTGTGGGTGCTGAGCCTGGGGGTGCGGAGCCTGGGGGTGCTGAGCCTGGGGGTACTGAGCCTGAGGGTGCGGAGCTTGAGGGTGTGGAGCCTGGTGGTGCTGAGCCTGAGTGTGAGGGGTCTGGGGGTGCTGAGCTTGGCTGTACTGACGCTGGAGGTTCTGGAGCTACTGAGGGTGCTGGCGCTGGAGGTTCGGGAGCTGTTGGAGGGCCTAGTACTGGTGGCGCTGGAGCTGGAGGTTCTGGAGCTGCTGAGGGTGCTCGCGCTGGAGGTTCTGGAGCCGTTGGAGCTACTGGCGCTGTGGGTACTGACACCGGAGGTTCTGGAGCCGTTGGGGGTGCGGGCGCTGAGGGTTCTGAGTCTGCTGTTGCGCGGTCTCCTTGGAGTAGCCGCCTTCGTCCACGTGTGCCTCTCACCTCACAGCAGCTGCAAGACTGGTACGGTCGCGTCAGGGTCGCGCTGCTGGAGCCCGGGGCTCTGCTGCTGGAGTTACTTCTGCTGACGTCCCTGGAGCTAGGAGTGGTGCTGGTCCTTTGTCTACTGGAGGTGCTGGAGTCGCTGGCTCCGAAGGTGCTCGTACTGGAGGTACTGGAGCTGCTGGGGCTGGGGGTGCTGCGTCTGGAGGTGCTGCTGCTGGAGACACTGAGACTGGAGACCCTGGGACTGGAGGTGCTGGTTCTGGGGGTGCTGCTGCTGGAGACACTGAGGTTGGAGACCCTGGGACTGGAGGTGTCGGTTCTGGGACTGGAGCTTCTAAAGCTGCTGGAGGTGCTGGAGCTGCTGGAGGTACTGGAGCTGCTGGAGCTGCCGGTACTGGTACAGCTGCGCCGACACGCCTGTTCTTCGCTCCGCCGTCTCCATCGTCTCTGCCGCCGTCTGACTCTGTTCTTCGTCAGGTTCTTATTCTCCCGTCGTCTACTGGTCTTCCGTTACAGCCTGGCTCACCGCTACCTGCTCCTTCTCCCTACACTGAGCAGACTGGTAGTCCTGCTGAGCGTCGTGAGCCTCCGTCACGTCCTGTCTCGCCTGTTCGTCCTAGTCGTACCGGTCGTTGTGTTCCTCGGTCGCGTCAGCCGGCTGTCCCCTGCGCACACCTCATAGTCCGTCGTCCTTCCTCTGCTCCGCAGCCTGTTCCTCTGCCGTCTCCTCCTGCGCCCTCTTTGCCTGACGTTCCGGACCCTGCGTCTGACCGGTTTCGTGCTGAGCAACCTACTGTCACGCGTCTGCTAGACACTGTTGTCACTGACCCGTCGTTTGAGTCTACTGCTGCGTCTGCTCTTGTCGCTGAGCTTGTTAACTTTGCTGCTGCCTGTCGTCTAGACTTCGCTGCCAGTCTTGTTGCTGAGTCTGAGTCCGTCTGTCCTCCGTCCGTCGAGGGTGATTGTGCTCTTAGCACGGACGTCCTTGAGAAAAGGCACGAGGACCTTGAGTGTCTTGCAGCCGCTGTGCCTCATCTCATGGCCATGCTGCTTGCCCCTGAGGGAGACCCGGATGCACCAGACATCCCGACCCCGCGCTCTTACGCTGAGGCGATCGCGGGTGAGTACTCCTCTCAGTGGCAGACAGCCATGGACGCAGAGATGGCATCCTGGAAGTCCACAGGCACTTACGTCGATAAGGTTCCCCCTCCTGGGGCGAACATCGTCGATGGCATGTGGATTTTCAGGGTGAAGCGGCCGCCGGGTTCTCCGCCTGTCTTCAAGGCTCGTTACGTTGCTAGAGGCTTCAGTCAGCGAGAGGGAGTTGACTTCTTCCAGACCTTCTCCCCCACCCCGAAGATGACTACTCTTCGGGTGCTGCTGCACGTTGCCGCTCAGCGTGACTACGAGCTTCACTCTCTTGTCTTCAGCACAACTTTTTTACAGGGCAGCCTGCACGAGGAGATCTGGCTGCGCCGCCCACCTGGCTTCACTGGGTCGTTCCCTCCTGGTACCCAGTGGAGCCTCTGGCGACTAGTCTACGGTCTCCGCTAGGCACCACGTGAGTGGCACGACACACTGAGGACGACACTGGCGGCTCTTGGGTTTGCTCCTTCGACAGCTGACCCGTCGCTGTTCCTGCGCACCGACACTTCGCTGCCACCGTTCTACATCCTCGTGTACGTTGAAGACTTGGTCTTTGCCACTGCTGACACTGAGGCTCTCGCCTTGGTGAAGTCGGAGCTGCAGAAGAGACACACGTGCACAGACCTGGGTGTGCTGCGCAGTTACCTTGGCTTGCAGATCACCCGGGACAGAGCACGCCGCACCATCACACTGACTCAGTCACACATGGTGCAGCAGGTACTTCAGCGCTTCGGCTTCACCTGGTCCTCGCCACAGCACACTCCTCTGGCTACAGGTCACTCGCTCTCAGCTCCACCTTCGGACGAGTCCGTAGAGCCGAGTGGGCCTTACCCAGAGCTAGTGGGCTGCCTCATGTACCTGATGACCTGCACTCGTTTTGACCTTGCGTACCCTCTTGGCCTTCTCGCTCGCTACGTGGCTCCTGGTAGGCACCGACCAGAGCACATGGCTGCTGCTAAGAGGGTACTGCGCTACTTGTGCAGTACATCGGGCATGGGGCTCGTGCTTGGAGGACGGAGTGAGGTGGTCCTCACGGGGCACTCAGACGCGTCTTGGGTTGACGACCAGACTACACAGCGGTCGTCACAGGGTTACACCTTCAGCCTTGGCTCTGGCTCAGTTTCTTGGCGGTCTATACGCTCGTCTTCTGTTCTCAGCTCCAGTTGTGAGGCTGAGATCTACGCCACCGCCATGGCTGCGCAGGAGCTACGCTGGCTCACCTACCTGCTGACTGACTTGGGTGAGCGGCCTCGTTCTCCTCGAGTGCTGTACGTTGACAACAAGGCGGCCATTGCCTTGTGTGAGGAGCACAGAGTGGAGCACAGAACGAAGCACATTGCTCTGCGTTACTTCCTGGCTCGAGAGTTGCAGCAGCGAGGTCAGCTTCGTCTTCGCCACGTGGCCACTCGGGCCAACACTGCTGATATATTCACCAAGGCACTTCCGTCTGGTAATCATCAGCGCTGTTGTACTCTGTTGGGCCTTGTGCCTACGTTTCCACACTTGCTGTAGTCTCTGCTTGTACTGTGATCTATATATATACCTGCATGCTGGCTCTTGCTAGGTAGCCATCACTGTACTGTTATTGCTGCATATATATCTCTGCATGTGAACTGGCCTTGTGGCCCTTTGCTTGTGCTCGGAATGTGTGGTGACGTTGTGATCCACCCTGAGCTTGTTTTGCTTCTCTTGACTGGTCGTGTGACCCCTTGTTCTCCCCCACTTTGCCTATGGGGGTGTGTCAAACTATATGTGCTGCATATTGTCTAGGATGTAGTGGGGTACAACCCAATTAGGGTTTACTACTTGTACTCCTACATCCTGCTATTCCTGTTGCTAGATTCTAACAACATTGTATGTCATCATTGCACCGTCGGATCGTTGCGCCGTTGCGTTGTTGCCTCGTTGCGTCGTTACCTCGCTGCGCCGCTCAATCATTACGCCGCTCGATCGTTGCGCCATTGCGTTGTAGCGATTTAACATATCCATAAGCCAGCTAAATCTACTAGGTTATCAATTAATTTCTTTTCCTCTTTAGATTAGCGTCTCTTAGTATTATTTTGTTTTTCTTTGATCGGATTGAACAATCTATTTGTAGAATAATTGGTTTCAATCAGTTTAAAACGGATTGTTAAGGGAATTTATTTGAAATTACTTATACATCTTAACGGTTCAAATTCTCACGATGTCAATCACGATGCCCACGATGCTAGTCACGATGCTCGCTAGTCACGATAATCGCTTGTCACGATGCTCGCTAGTCACGATGCTCGCCGGTCACGATGCTCGCTAGTCACGATGCTCGCCGGTCACGATGCTCGCAAATCACGATGCTTGCTGGTCACGATGCTCGCTGGTCTTGATGCTCACTGGTCACGATGCTCGCTGGTCACGATGCTCGCTGGTCACGATGCTCGCTAGTCACGATGCTCGCTGGTCACGATGCTCGCTAGTCACGATGCTCGGTATTCACGATGCTCGCTAGTCACGATGCTCGCTGGTCACGATGCTCGCTAGTCATGATGCTCGCTAGTCAAGATATTATAATGTTCCAATATTATTACAATGTGCCACATATACTAGCTAGTCTAAAATGGAACATACATTATAATATGTAGTATTTCTAGTAAATGCAGATCCGCCATTGAGTCATTACGCTGCTGCGATTTATTACATCGTATGTCATCATTGCACCGTCGGATCGTTGCGCCGTTGCGTCGTTGCGTCGCTGCGCCGCTCGATCGTTACGCCATTGCGTTGTAGCGATTTAACATATCCATAAGCTAGCTAAATCTGCTAGGTTATCAATTAATTTTTTTCCTCTTTAGATTAGCTTCTCTTGGTATTGTTACAAATAGTAATATTTGATATTACTGTGCACTCCTCACCGTAGCAAAAGGAAGCAGGCAATATTGGGAACGAACGCGAAGCGTTAGACAGCTGGAAACGAACGCGAAGAGTCAGACGGTTACAGCACATCTAGACCGTCGGAAGCAGACGGCATTGCACAGCTGCAGGCAGGATGGATTTGGCGGGAACAGTTACGAAACTGTACGCGCCGCACGGTTGGGGATGTATTTGAATAAGGGAATGTACCCCTTAGGGTACATGGCTAGTTAGGTCTTTTCGTATTCCCTTGTACTCTTATTTATATCATCTTGTTTGCATGTTTTATTATCTCAAGCATTTACATTCACTCAGCTATTGAGGTCAAGGGCCCACCAACATTGCGTGCGAACCTTCCTGAGTAGATCCTGGGCTACGATCAACTTCTGATCGCAGCATGGTATGAGAGCAGCTCGGGAATCCTTCGCACTGCCAGTCCCGAAAATTGCGACATTCGGAAAGTGGCGTCCGGCACACGCTCACGAGTGAAGATGGCCGGAGGATCTGGTGATCAGACTAATCTGACGGCTGAAGCGCAACCCAACCCGGCTGCGACAAGCGAGAACACGACGACGATCGGTTCCGAAGTTCTCGCACAACTTCTTCAGCGACTCACCAGCTTGGAGCAAGGACTCCAAACATTGCGGAATGGCGATGCGGGAACATCCTCGCAACCCTCTCAACCGGCCCCGACTGGCCAGAACGCCACCCCGCAAACATTCTCCCTCGACACCAATGGCTCAACCCCCAAGACTCCCCGTCCCAGCGAAGAGGCAATTCTCTCCGCTCAATCAAGGTTTCTCAGCATATCAAAAATAAAGACAAGTACCTGTTTTGACGGCAGAGACTTTTATACCTGGAGCTTCGAGTTGGAGCTCCTGTTGCAGAACGCCCGAATCTTCCACTATTTTGACGGGAGCTACGCGGAGCCCGATGAGGACACCGACGACGCCAAGGCAAGGTACTACGACGAATCGTTGATGGCGTACGGGGTGCTCCTGCGGAACATGTCGCCGGCGGAGCAGCTCAACATTCGTTCCTACAAGACCTCGGCTGCTCCAGCCCTTAACGCCTGGCGACACCTGACAGGTGTCTATCAGCCCAAGGACTCTGTCTCTTCGAGCCGACTACTCCAGGAACTCCTGGAAACCAAGATGACCGCAGGGAAGAAGGTCAACAACTATCTCAATCGCTGTCGGAGCCTTCGCGATCAAATCGTGAAGCTGGGAAGCACGATTTCAGAGGAAATCTTCGTCAACATCGTGCTTCAAGGGCTCGGCCCAGAGTGGCGGCCCTGCAAGGCGCTTCTCCGACAGCAGGGGGTCATCTCGGAGGCCGCCCTTTGCGCCGCCCTTCTCGTCGAACAGAGGGATATGGATCAGCAGCGACCAGCGCCGCGACAGGAACGCGAACGGCTCGCCTTCTACGCCGACAACACTGAAGAGCGAAAGCCACGGCGCCTCTACTGCAATATCTGCAGAAATTTCGGGCATCTGGCGGATCGATGCAAGAACCGATCCCGCCCTCGCCAGACCAATCCGAGGACCTGGCCCGGCCGTCAAGACGCATGAGGCGACGTGCGTCCAGCCCAGGGGTATCAGCCCCCTTCCGCGCGCAATCTGAACCCAGCGGTTCAGCATCAGCAGCAGCAGTTGTCATCGACTGCCCCAGTTCGCAATGTCATGAGCAACATGGCCATTACAGGCGAGTCGCGTCGTCGCCGTGTCCGCTCGCCTTCACCTGAGCCGGCACCGCACCCCATTGGCGCATTCACCAACAACAATCCGTTCTGTCCGCGCCACGATTTCACCGACGACGACGACCAAGACTGGAATCTTCCAGTCCCGCTGCTTGAAAGTCCCCCTGCACGTACCGGATATGCGGGTGGCGCCACTTGATTGGCTCTCGCGCGAGCAATTTTTGAAGTTCGACACTCCGCACATCGTCACGCCGCGACTGGCGCTGCTCGCCCGTGACGACAACAAGCGCTACAACACCTGGTACCTGGACAGCTGCTGCGGCCAGCATATGGTGGGCTCCGAGCGTTACATATCTAACACCGTCCCCACCCCTGCCGTCACTTACGTCACCGTGGCGAACAACACGCGCCTGCGCGCAAGCGCGTAAGGCATCGTCGTGCTCAAAGCACGCGGGAGCCGCACGCACATCACGCTCAACGATGTGCTGATCGTCCAGAACCTGCGTTTCAACCTCCTGTCCACCGCACAGCTGATGGATTGCGGCGTCGACCTCAGCACGGATCGCGCGACGAGAGATATCCTGCTGCACTATGAGGCGCGCAACTTCCTCCGCAGGCAGATCGGACGAGCACACTCCGAAAATGGAGTGTACGTCCTGGACGTTGACATCCCCGACTGCAGCGGCGATTCGCACGAGCTGATTGACCTCGTGCCACTACGCTTCGCGCACATCCACTGCAGGGACTGGAAGCACCCTGACGGCAAGCCGTGGGTGCCACACCATCCTCACCCACGCGAAACGGCGTTACACAACCCCGACCCCGACGGCATATGCAGGGATTGTCACACGCCGACGACCTCAACAAGCGCGATTGCGGGCCGCGGACTTGCCGCCATCGCTGAAGCAGAGTGCCACGCGCCACCAGAAGAAGGGATGTCGCAGCTCGAGGTCGAGGAGACTACTCGCCGCGTGTTCGGCACCGACCAAAGCCCCCACGCTGGACCTCCCTCCCAGCGGCTCGACAATATCCTGCGCGGACAACGCCACGGAAGCTTGGACTCACGAGGAGTTCCGTGCCCCTACACTCTCGAGGAATTCCGAAAGGTGTACCCTCATCGGCTCGACCCCTCGGCAAAACTCACCGTGGAGCAAGAGGAAGAACTGGCGCGCCGCGGAGCCGAAGAGCTTCGCCAGCAAAGCCTCGCCGAAGCGCGCGGCACCTTCGCTTGCGGCGCATGGGGAGCCGAAGCGGAAGAGAGTGCCTCCAATGAAGGGGGTGGGGAAGCGCTGGCGGATGGGGAACAAGCGACACCGGTGGATGGGGAGACAACGGCGGAACATGGGCCAACGCGAGCGGCGGATGGGGCGCCGTACCTACCGCCGCAGACAGCGGCTGGTGCACTTCCCGCGAAGAACGAAGGGGGGAAGAGGAAGAAGCTGAAGAAACCGAAGCAGCACTTGCAGTCGCTCCTCTCGGTCGTCCCCCGCGCCACATACCACTCGCACCACCTCTTGCAGATATTCCCCCGCGTCGCGACCCTTGGGACACCATCATCTGGGGCAACGAGCCGTCAACCCCGCGTCGCACCGTCTACGGACCTGCCCTTGAGCCACGCCAACCTACCTTAGTCCCTGGAACTATCCCTGGGACCAACATCCCACTTTCTGAAATTCGCGACAGAGAGTTCTTGGCGCTGATGCTGACTACCGCGGCAGAAGAAGAAGAAGTAGAAGAAGTAGCAGCAGAACCCGTTCCTGCACCTGACGAAGACCCTGAGGAAGCACGCGCGCGCTATATGCGCACCTCCGGCTTTCGCGCTGACGATGCACTCTGGCACCAGCGCCTCGGACATCCTTCTCGCGCGACGCTGGAAAACTGCATCGACGCAGGTGTCTTCGCTCCTGGCGCACTCCTGCGCCCTGATGGCTCCGAAGTGAGTGGCGCGACATATCCGCGCAACTGCACCGTCTGCCCCGAAGCTGCGCTGAGCCACCAACCGTTCCCGCTGCTCGAACCTGGAACCAACCGCTACCCCAAGCTGCAGAAGGTGTACAGCGATTTCTTGAACGTGGGGCATCGCGGAGTCGAGGACGAGCTATACACTCTCACCTTCAGCGATTTCTTGCGCTATGTGTGGGTCGTGAACGTGGAGTCGCGCGACAGAGCCTACGAGGTATTTCGCCTCTGGCTGCCGCATGCGGAGCGGCAATCTGGAAAGAAGCTCAAGATTTGGCAGTCTGACGGCGCGGCAGAATTCAAGAGCAATCAGATGCAGACATTCCTAACACAAAAGGGGATCGAGCATCACATCTCCCTCCCCTACGCGCACCAGCACCAGGGCGTAGCTGAGCGAACGAACCGCACGCTGATGACGAAGGTGCGCGCGCTGATGAAGCAGTCGAAACTGCCGCCGATCTACTGGACTTACGCGATGCACCACGCCGTGCGGGTGCACAACCTGCTTTCGACCACCGCAAATACCGGCAACTTGTCCCCGCACATCAAGTGGACAGGAACCAAGGGAGATACCTCCATGCTCCGCGTATGGGGATGCATGGTTCAATACCGCCCGCCTACATCAACCATCGGCAAGTTCGCCAGCCGCGCGCGCTGGGGGATTCACCTCGGCATCAGCCACGAATACAAGGCGTGGACCGTGCTGGACCTCCTCAGCCAGAAGACCGTCCATGCCCGCGACGTAATCTTCTAAGAGCGTCTCTTCCTCGACCAGTTCCGCAGCGACCAAGAAACAAACGCAAATCACGTCCTGTAGGATCCTGTAGGATCCCGTTCCTCCCGACCTCGTTGCGTCGCTGCGCCGCTCAATCATTACGCCGCTCGATCGTTGCGCCATTGCGTTGTAGCGATTTAACATATCCATAAGCTAGCTAAATCTACTAGGTTATCAATTATTTTTTTTTCCTCTTTAGATTAGCTTCTCTTAGTATTACTATGTTTTTCTTTGATCTGATTGAACAATCTATTTTTAGGATAATTGGTTTCAATCATTTTAACGGATTGATAAAGGAATTTATTTGAAATTTACTTATACATCTTAACGGTTTTACATTCTCACGATGTCAATCACGATGCTAGTCACGATGCTCGATAGTCACGATAATCGCTTGTCACGATGCTCGCTAGTCACGATGCTCACCGGTCTCGATGCTCGCTAATCACGATGCTCGCTGGTCACGATGCTCGCTGGTCACGATGCTCGCTGGTCACGATGCTCGCTGGTCACGATGCTCGCTGGTCACGATGCTCGCTAGTCACGATGCTCGCTGGTCACGATGCTCGCTAGTCACGATGCTCGGTAGTCACGATGCTCGCTAGTCACGATGCTCGCTGGTCACAATGCTCACGAGAATGGGGCGGGGTGATGGAAAGCGGGAGAATGGGGCGGGGTGATGGAAGGCGGGAGAATGGGGCGGGGTGATGGAAAGCGGGAGGATGGGGCGGGGTGATGGAAAGAGGGAGAATGGGGCGGGGTGATGGAAAGAGGGAGAATGGGGCGGGGTGATGGAAAGAGGGAGAATGGGGCGGGGTGATGGAAAGAGGGAGAATGGGGCGGGGTGATGGAAAGAGGGAGAATGGGGCGGGTGATGGAAAGAGGGAGAATGGGGGGGTGATGGAAAGAGGGAGATTTTGGCGGGGTGATGGAAAGAAGGAGAATGGGGCGGGGTGATGGAAAGAGGGAGAATGGGGCGGGGTGATGGAAAGAGGGAGAATGGGGCGGGGTGATGGAAAGAGGGAGAATGGGGCGGGGTGATGGAAAGAGGGAGAATGGGGCGGGGTGATGGAAAGAGGGAGAATGGGGCTGGGTGATGGAAAGCGGGAGAATGGGGCGGGTGATGGAAAGAGGGAGAATGGGGTGGGGTGATGGAAAGAGGGAGAATGGGGCGGGGTGATGGAAAGAGGGAGAATGGGGCGGGGTGATGGAAAGAGGGAGAATGGGGCGGGGTGATGGAAAGAGGGAGAATGGGGCGGGGTGATGGTAAGCGGGAGAATGGGGCGGGTTTGGGAAGCGGGAGAATGGGTGGGGTGGTGGAAAGCGGGAGAATGGGGC